GCTTGCTACCTAGCTGCTCCAGGCCGTTTCATCGGCTAATTCAGATATCTCAATCCTTCTACCTCAGACCAGGTGCTGGTTTGATACACCCCATCCTGCCGTCATGTCCCGTTCACGTCTTCCCCCAACTCCTTCAATGTCTGGAGAATTCATCATCAAGGAACAAACTTCCGTCGACGGCGCAGACGCCTTTGCATTGCCTCCAGCTGCCCTAAGTCCTGCCAAAAGCGAGAGTGCAAGCAGGAGACCTTCCAAATCAGACTCGACCTACTTTCCTGCTTCTCCCACCTCGCCCGAACTCACAGGTCTGGGCCGCAATACAAATCCTCCCCGTCAGGCTGGTACCAAGAGGTTACTTGAGGATTTTGATCTTCCACCTCCGCCAACCCGGACCCGCAAGATCATCCAGATGAAGCCCAAGACACAGACTTCGGCCAAGCCTGCCACACCAAACAGCAAGCCTTCGACCAAAGACAACGGGAAGAACCAGCCTGCCAACAGTGCAAATGCCGCAGCACCTGCGAACTCGAAGAAAAAGCAGCCTAGTGCAACCAGCGCCGCGGGTCGGAAAATTGCCAGGAAAACGGCGCACAGTCTGATCGAGCGTCGGCGGAGATCTAAGATGAACGAGGAGTTTGCGACTCTCAAGGACATGATTCCCGCTTGCCGGGGCCAGGACATGCACAAACTTGCCATTTTGCAGGTACGATCCTTCTTCCTTTCCCAATAGTAGTAGTCGGCGATCACTGACTTTACGCACAGGCAAGCATTGAGTATGTCAATTATCTCGAAAAGTGTATCCAAGACCTCAAGACTGCTGGCAGTCAACGGACGACGGCATCGCCGTTCGTGCCGCCTGCTCCTCCCTCTCCCACGTCACCCGAGATGCTTGGCGAAGTTCGCAGTGGAACCCAATCAACGTCTGTCTCTCCAGAGCTACTGCCTAACGGCGCTCTCACCAACAACACTTCGCCAGCTTTCTCTCCTCGTAGCCGGATTCCGTCAATAGGGACAGCGATCGAATTTTTGCCTGCGATCCTTCCCAGCCCCGCGTTAGGTCCAGTCCGCTATGGCGAGGGGACTATGCACCCTCCACGTGGCTCATGGACCGTCCCGTCATCAACGCTCACCTCACCCATCATTCAGCCACGAGCCAGCAATGCTTCCTCTGGAACCGACGCGGACATTGACCATGAGGCTTCCGCCGCCCTGCTCATGCTGAACAGGGATCGCCGCGGAACTGTTGGCTCTGTGCAGGAGGGTCTTTCGAGTCCTGAGTCTCAGGAGAACAGTGGACTGTCGATACAAGAGTCGCAAAAGAAGATGGGGATGAGTGTCAAGGACTTGCTTATTGCATAGATTCGTGTTTCGATTGTTCTGGCGTCAGGAGGTTTAGCCTGATCCAAAAGGGGTCTTGGGTGGTGTTCTGTTTTCTCTCGGTAATGGAATATGAAGGCGCAATGAGGCTACTGGGACTTTATAATGAATAATGATCTTTGGAGTTTTACGAAATCAAACTGATTTACTGACTGCAACACATACACTTCAACGAATCATCTCTCAAGCTAAACTCCTACTCCGTGAACGAACCTGTTCCAACGGTCAATGCGTTAGCAGCCATAGCTCACTACCTAGTAGTAATAAGTCCAGGAAAGACCCAGCCTGAAAGCATTGAGGATAAACCTAATTATCTCTTTTCTTTCAACACCACTCGAACGCTGATAGTGGATGTCTCACTCGGTGCCGTAAAGTGGCAAACACAATTCATGCGAGAGGGAGGGGGACAGACCAATCAGACGAACCTTCCAGTCGTCTTCTCGGAACCCAGTCATGAGGAGAATCGGGGTTGGCGTTGTAGGTACTGGGCAGGGGTTAGTCTAGGGAGTCGATGTTATTCCTTTTCCCTTTCCTGTAAGGTGCATTGAAAGGGCTGGACTCGTCCGTGCACATCGACTTCCATCTGCTCAGCGCAAAAGACGCCGCACGCGAGCATAATTTTCTGTCAGTATCATTATGCTTGGATTCATGCGTTGTCACTTATCACGGTGTACATAGCTGCGAAACATGTCTACCATATGCCTTTCGCCTGTTCTTGATATCCTCACCGATAATGAGCGAAGGAGACATGAAGATGAGGAAGGTCAGCATGCTTGAGGCATCGGTCAGCAGGGCTCGTAAATAATTCATCTTCTATGCCGACTTCTGCCAAGCGGTGATGAATGTATCGCGGGTTGCTGGCTCCACCGAGTCAATGCGGCCTCCGCAGTGGAGTATTCGCGGAGTACTCGGTAGATATTCCTATGGCCTATGGGTATCCAGAGTGGTACAACCAGCTGTAGAAAAGCAATTATATCGGATTCTGGTTGCCTTATGGCTGTCGCACTGTCGTATCTATTTGTTTCTCCGTACTAAGGTAGGCTGGTACCCGGGAGGTACCCACAAGACGAAATAGGATAAAGTACACCATACTCAGTAGTACAATGATCTACGCCAAGTGCTTGGTATGCGCCCCGGTCAATTATCAGCTCGACATATTGAACTGAACTATTTGAGCGGGAATTCGGACAGTCTTGGCTTAATACAAGGGGAGTCTCTTGGGGAAACGAGTAGAGAGGTACTGTACCTAGTAATTCATGGTTCTCATAGCTGTGGATCTGGACGCGCAAGTACCCCATTGAGCAACCCGGTCAGTTACAGTTAGATGACGTCGTTGAGTGGCTCTCAGTAAAGCGCCGTTCGAGGTACTCAGGTACTCCTGCCTCTACACTCTGAAGTGTCAGGGTACCTACTATTCTTCATGAGTAATGCTCCTGTCTAATAATAACAAGTCTAAGGTACTAGGAGAGGTACACTTTGTCCATCGCGTAGCATGTCTGCCAAGTGTTCTTGCCCTGTCGCAGGACCAACCGATCAATAAGAGTCAATCATTCACATTATTGCTCGATCAAACGGAATTTCGATGATGATTGCCAAGCTAGGGAGCCTGACGTCGCAGTGCCCCAATCATTCATTTCACTCTCGGCACGGCTTTGCCGGGAGACCTTCCGATCCTAGTATTCTGGCCTCCCCCGAGGAGTTCCAGAAAGAACACCCCGCACGACTTTTGGGTGAATTAGTTCATGTTACTCCCTCTGTCTCTGTCTGGCCTAATGACTGCCCTGTGGGTCAAACTTTGTCTTCTCTAGTCGGTGCTTAACTGACTACCCTCTTGGATACTTAATACAGCCATCCCACCCACCCCCCCTCATTGCGTCTGATTTCAGTCGACAACAATTTTTAAGTATCCACAACTCTTCTTCTATCCTCAACACTTCCAAAACTTCACCCGGTCAATCCTACCCATCACAATGTCCAGATTCCGCTCGCAACGTAAGAAAAACGCCCGCTCTATCGCTTCAGAGGACCCCTGGAGGGTCGATACCCCGTTCGGTCCTCCACGGATGTCCTCCTTCCCCGGTGGTGGCATTCAACGGATCCGCAACACACTTTCCAGGCTATCGCCCTCCGCTCGAGCAGAGAGAGAACTCCTGAAACAGAAGAGCCAATACAAAATCCCATTGACGGAAAGGAATATCGACACCCTGGTCACCAACCAGCTCTTCTCGGATTCGTTCAAACCAGAACGGCATACGGAGCAGCAAATAGCCGCCTGGCTTGAGCGACTGGCATATTAATCAATTTGACTTTGGAGTACCGATGGGATATCCGTCTCTTCTGACCGATAACTACCCCGCCCATGTCTTGTCCTCCCGTCGACATCGAGTACTGGTCTGGTTCGAGCACCGTCAGCTCAATCTGAAATTGCCTCATTAAACGCAAGAAAATTCCTATCCAGTCGATTTGGACTGGAAACAAGTGATCTTCCGTCGCTCTCTTGGCGTTGACGCCATCACCCAACATGCCGCGCTAAGTATGCAAGTCTACGCCGCCTGCAGCAACGCAACAGCGACAACCTGGCGAAGAGACTCATGCAGCTCGAGGAACGGTTAATGAAAGGCTAGTTCAACAACTAACGCCCGGGTGGTCTAGTGGTATGATTCTCGCTTAGGGATAAACCCAAGCATATCTGCGAGAGGTCCCGCGTTCGATCCGCGGCTCGGGCCGTTTCTTTTTGTTCTTTTTGCTCCCCCTTAATGCCATAGCAGGCATTTGTCCTTTTGCGTCTTGCTTCAAGACGAAATTTTCTTCTGTGATAGATACCCTCTGTTTAAAATCCCTCTTTTCAACGTTATTCCTGTTTAGCCTGGCGCTTTGGTGATTTTGCCTGCGTAACAACAGCAATTCTGAGCTGTTCCTGTTGGTAATGATAATAGCAGATGCATTCTTCTCTACTCCGTAGCCTAGTGAGAATCAAGCGCTTTCCAGTGCTTTCTCATTCTTCGACTCCCAGGAGCTCATTTGGTTAGATAGTTGGGGTTAGGTTCTCATGCGAGATGCCCCTCGTTGCTGTTATATTTACTTCTCCGCCTGTCGGGGCCCCCCGCAGCAGTAACAACCACCACGACTACAGCTCCCACCAGTCTTTTCTCACTACAACTGACACTAATTCTGCCTATGTCAGGCGAATAGAGAACTGACTCGACCATGATCTTCCTTTCACCCTAGTATTGCGGCTCTCAAATCATTAATGCACCTGACCATAAGCACTTCCAGTGAGGGGTACCCCACAAGCAGATAAGGTAGCAAACAACGGAATGCTGCGGCCAAAGAAGGTCGCTATAATAGGTACATCAACTTGCCTTCACGCCAACAGAATCAGAGATTATATCTTTGAAGTCCGCTGAAGAACTCACTTTTTAATAGGCGCCGGTCCGTCCGGCCTCGTCACAGCCAAAACACTCCTCCACCATTTCCCTCAGGGCACATTTACCCCAAGCATCTTCGAAAAAAGCCATGAGATAGGCGGCCTGTGGCCCATACATCACAATCTCAGAGGTTCAAATTCCGGCCATGCATGCGCCTCAAAAGATCCTGGCGCAGCTGGACCAGTGAATCCGTCCATGCGAACAAACCTTAGTCGCTTCACCGTTTCCTTCTCCGATTTGGCCTGGGAGTCGGTGCTTGGGACTGCTGATGTGCCTATGTTCCCGCAGGCGTGGCAAGTGGGCAGATACCTGGAGACCTATGCGGAGCGGTACTTGTCTGGCGAGGTGGTCAGGTTGGGGTGTGAGGTTGTGCGTGCGGTTCGGGAGGTGGTTGGTGGCCGGCCGCGGTGGACCGTGCAGTGGGTGCAGAGGAGGTATTTTTTTTTTTTCGAGTTTCTTGCTCGTCGCATGGCTGATATAGTTGAAACAGTGGAAATGAAGCGCAGGGAGATGATACCGAGCAACGCGCAGTGGAGACCGAATACTTTGATTTCCTGGTCGTTGCTTCGGGGTACTTCTCTCGTCCGTATACACCGGACACCCCTGGACTTGCTGCCTTCGCCGACAGAACTGTCCACAGTTCTGCGCTACGCAGCCTTGAAGATCTGAATGCGATTGTCGAGAAGGGTTCCGATGGAGGAAGGTTAGTTGTCGTAGGAGGAAGTATGTCGGGCGTGGAGGCAGCTTCCTCTCTTGCCCTTCACGTTTCTTCGTTGAGGTCAGCGCCAGGGTCATCGATGCAAACAGGTAGCTTCCCTGAGGTCTACCACATATCCAGCCGGCCTTTCTGGACGGTGCCGACCTATATACCACACACTCAGAGGGACAATGCGACTGGCACGGAGACGGTATCCCTGCTCCCGCTTGACTTGGCTATGTATGATTTGGCTCGGCGGCCACCAGGGCCGGTTGAGTATGCCTTTGGCCCTGTCTCGGCAGCGCAGGTCGCCAAGGTGAACGGTTATTTCCGATCCGTTTTAGGAGAAGACTATACCAGTATCGGCCCCGGCGATATTGAGTTAGAGAGTGGCGAAGAGGAGGCTCTGCAGCCTCCGTGGGTGGCCATAGGGAATGACTACGCGGAGTTCGTCCGGTCAGAAGCAATCAGAACAACTATCGGCCGTGTTTCAGCCGTGCATGCTTCCTCACCTGGTCGGGTAAAAGTTGACATTGAGCAACCTGAGAAAGAGAGTATGTTGCTCGATGATGTTGCAGCGATTGTCCTGGCTACGGGATTTACCCCGTTTCCTTCGCTCTCCTTCCTCCCCGAAGACGTTCTTTCTGCGTTGGAGTATTCACCCGACGACTCCTTCTTCCCGCTAATCCTAGATGGAAAGGGCACCACTAATGCCAATGTTCCTGACCTGGGCTTTGTCGGATTTTATAGAGGACCATACTGGGGCGTGATGGAAATGCAGGCTCGAAGCCTTGCGCACACCTGGGCTCGAGCTGACACAGAGTATGGCATTCAGTTTCCAGCGAAAGAGCTGGAGGACAGAGCGCAGGAAAGACAGTGTGTTCGTGAATATCGGAATGCGGATCCGGATCTTCATCGAGGACAGTTCCCAATGGGAGATTATACCGGGCTGATGGAGTCCTTTGCTCGGGATCTAGGGATACGCCGTGCTCCTTTGCCGGAGCTTAACGAACGTCCTGGCCCTGTTGTACCGGCGCGGTATGCACCGTCTGGACCAGGGACCGCCGATATCCAGATGAGTTTGCAAGCTCTGCAAGAGACTCTACGACCTAGAAGGGGAAGTGCCAGTCCAGCAGTAGCCATGGCGATCTTTCGAGCCCTTCACGGCAGCTGGGATTTCAGTCGATCAGGACAAGGTGGCGTATCATCCGGCATTTCTTCATTCTCCCCGCGATATCCTTCTAGCTCCACTTATGAGAAGGAATATCTGTACGAGGAGAGTGGGCAGAAGTTTGCAAGCTTTGTGTACCGGCTCACAGATAGTCCCCAAGATGCGGAGATTACGATCTGGTCCGCTAACTCTCAGGATAAGACTGCTGTTGCCCTCTTGTATGGCCTAAGGATCTTGGACCAGGAGGGCTCAAGCACGTTAAGTCAGGGAGAGTACACTATTCGCGCAACTGGCAGCCAGTGGAGCAGCAACTGCACGTATGAATACGTGTTTCGATTCAACGGCGCAGCCATATCGTCCTGGGAATATACGGTTCGCAGGCCACCGGAACACAGCGTTTTATTGAGTAGAACGCTATACAGACGCGTACAAAATACGTGACAGTCACTTGACCACCTCAATCTCGCTTAATAAGTGAATCGAAACGCAGGATGGTCATCGCCCAGATTCTCCACTTCCTCCTGGGGCAGCTCCAGCCTCCATTCCCTTCTACCTGCCTCCCTCAACCTATTCTCCCTCACCAAGTAAGTCAGGAACAAGGCGCAAGCCGCTCCGCAGATCCAGGTCATTCCCAGACTCACCCCGTACCCGGTAGTATATCGCGGAGCCTCCTCCTTGAAGAAGATGTTACTCGCCACCAGGCCTCCACAATTGCCAAACCCAATCTGCATTGCCGACGCAATGGACTGCTTGTAATGCCCCGCCATGTTGTTACTCAGCCAGCCCATGAGGATCGGTTGCGTGAGGTAGCCGCCGCCCGTGATGGCGAAGACGGCAAAGTAGCGTGCCCCGACGGGCACGGATGCTTGGCAGAGCAGTATCACATAGCCCATGGTTGCAATGAGACAGCCTGCCAAGGTGAACAGGTACCGGTGGCGGAGCCGGTCGCTGGCATAGGCAGCGGAGAGGGTGATGACCATGGAGACGCAGTAGACGGGGACACTCATGACTTGGGCGCGGACGGCGGTCCATCCTAGCTGATTGAGGATGGTGGGGGTGAAGAAGGAGACTGCATAGCCGGTGTTGACAATGCCGAAGTACATGAGGGGTCTATGTCGGGTGTTACCATCAGTTCTTTGTTTATTTAGGGTTGAGACGGGAGTACATACCCCAGGTAGATCTTTGGGTCTGAAAAGGCACGCCGCAGCGACTTCTTATCCAGACGATCCATTCTCGCTTCACCTTGGTCTTCTGATAGACGGTGGAGGAGCAGCGTTCGTTCGTCCTCTGTCAGGAACCTGGCGGTCTCGGGCCAATCGACAACGATGAACTTGGCTATGACCGCGACGACAATGGTGGCGAGACCCTCGAGGATGAAAATCCAGCGCCAGCCACTGTACCCGGCAACGCCGTCCATGTTGTTGATGGCGTAAGCAAGTAGCTGACCAGCATCAGCAATCTCGTTGATCAAGAGAAGAAGGATGGATCTACCCCGCTAACTGCACCAGCAAAGATACTGGCGCTGAAGAAGACGTTGAGCCGCCATTGAAGCTCGTGTCGACGGTAGTACATATTGATCAGGTAGACGGATCCTCATCCAGAAGTCAGCATCCGAGCTTGAAACGGGGATAAAAGAGGACAGTACCAGGCATGAAACCCGCCTCGAAGACCCCAATCAGCACCCGGCACACTACCAATCCATGAAAACTCTTCGTGACACCTTGACAGACAGTCAGAATCCCTGTGACACCGTCAGCCGTCGCTCACCACCTGACCAAACCGCACAGCAGAGCGAAAGACAGACCCCAAGCAAACATAATCCCACTCAACCACCACGACGGCTTCATCCTTTTCAAGAGCATATTACTTGGCACCTCGAAAAGGATATACGGAATGAAAAACACAAACAGGGCGATGTTGTACTCATGCCCGGTCATGCCCAGATCCCTCTCCAGCCCCATCAACCGGGCATTCCCGATGTTGATGCGGTCCAGGAAGGCGAACATGAACAGGAGAGTGAGAATGGGGACGACGTGCAAGTCGCATTTCCATAGGAGCCGTCTCTCTGCCGCTCTATCGATATCATCCGGCGCGAAGGAAGCGGACTTGATATCCTCAATGGAAGAGTGCGTGCGGTCGTCTTTTTCATCCATGATGCTAGCTAGTATTAGTACCTAGTAAAGTAAGACCAGCTAGACTATAGCCCTACAAGAAAGTACTGCCAAATCACGCCATGAGATCGACGAGATATCCACCCTCTTTATAGACATTGGACTCGTCGCTCAGGTTCAATATGCATATGTCGTACGCACACCCCGCATATTGCGGATCTTTTCCTAGATTCCGCGGGGAATTGCCGAGTCATACCTCAGACACTCCATTTCCGCTCTCCAAGAGACACAACTACAGAACTTTATTTAACGATCGATCGAGTTCGAGATGACTGACTTGACAGCATAGATAGTGCTGGACGCACTACCAGCACGGCGCAAATACAAACTAGGCCAATCATGCAGAACAATAACTCCTTCTAGTCAAGCAACGAGCAATTGAATCGCAAATGAAAGGTGTCAGAAGTTAGTCGGCAAGTATCTAATCCTCAGTTCAATGCGTAGATTGGGCTTTGCCAGACTAGATACAGGCTAGGATTCCAACGCAATGTACCTGCAACATACGCATGGTATCAATTGTGATTTACTCAAAACCATACACGGAGTATTCTCATTCTTTTGAGAAGTAGCGATACTTGTACTTGTGAGTCGTAACTCGAGGTCGTCGGCACGACCCCAGCTTCCCCAGATCCAAAAGTGCGGAAAGAGATTCCACTGCGGGGATGGATCCACGGACCACGGCATGTCCACCGTTTTCTGTCGGTTGTCAATGCAGGACGGAACGGGGGTTTCCGCTCAAGCTCGAATCTAGACAAGGATTGGATACTAGTGGTAGCTTTAAGTTGCTCACTTCGAGTGAACTAATTACTAGACTCTCAAGTGATCATCGAGACTTGGTTGGAATCGTATCGTAGGGCTATCTGTTCCATCCGAATCCGTAGAGCACGAGGTTAGCTAAATCAGCCGACTCAGTTTATGCGACGACCTGGCAAGAGCATGAGTCAGTCGTCGTGGCTTGGTTCGATGGCTGCCGGTTACCGTGACAAATTAAGTTGGTTATCGGCATGTTACAGTAGGACAGCGTAAATACCCATGATTTATACAGAGGGATGAAACTAAATAATTACTCAGACGTGAACGTCAGTATCAATACCAGATTGACCACTTATAAACATTAGCTGGATACAGCAAGGCCATAACCTCAACGCCACTTGGGCACTGCAGCGGCGGACATCTACCGTCTAGCCTCGATGTTTTCAAGTGTCACCGCATCACCCTTCTCGTTGGCCTGGTTCTCAAAATGTCTCTCCTTCTCTCCAATCATCAACTGCTCACCATTGGTGACATGGTTGGCGCCACCGAAGAGAGCGTCGATCTCCTCCAGGGGAACTTGCTTGGTCTCAGGAATGAAAAACCAGACGAAGACGGCAAGCAGGAAGTTGATTCCCGCGAACATGTACAAAGCGTAGAATCCGCAGTTCTTCAGGAAAATGGGGAAGAATTGTTGGACAATGGCGTTGGCAACGTTCTGAGTCTGCGAGGCCATACCTACAGCCTGGGCACGAACGTTCATCGAGAACACCTCGGACGTCCAAATCCACACGGTGGCACCCCAAGAGGGTTTGTCTGAGACAAGAATGTTAGGAGGGTCGAGTACGGACAGGATCGAAATAACTTACAGAAGAAGATGAATAGGAATAGTAAGAACACGATCGATATTCCGACGGGTTCTGTCTTCACCCCGTGCGGCGATGGCGTTTCAGTTTCAACAGCGGCGACAATGATCATGCAGAGACCCATGCCGATACCACCGACAATCAGGAGGAACTTGCGTCCGAAGCGATCAATGATCCACACCGCGTTCAGTGTGAAAAGGATACCGAAGGTGGCGTTGAGGGCGTTGATGAGGGCGATCGTTCCGGCGCTGGGAAACACCTTCTGGTAGATCTTCGTCGAGTACGAGTTCAGGGAACCTTGTCCTGTGACCTGTTGACCGGCGTTGATGACAAGCGCTAGAGCCATACGCTTGCGCAGGGACTTGTCCTTCCAGAGCGCACTGTAGTTACTGGAGATGGCTTCCTTTTCGTACTCGAGAGCCTCACGGATCCTCAAGATTTCCTCCTCAACTTCCTCTTCAGTCTCACGGACTCGGCGCAGAGCGGCGCGGGCCTTCTCGACGTTGTCACCTCGCTGGAGGAACCTGGCACCTTTGTCAGTTATTCTGAAACTGTATTGAGGTTTGCATCAGCTTACCATCGTGGAGAGCCGGGGATTGTTGGCAGAAGAGCCAGGATCAGGCAGGGAACGAGCAGTTGGAATATGACAACCATCTTCCAGTCCCACTCGCCCAGCTTCTCCTTGTGCTGTGTGCAACCGTAGTTCACCCAGAAGCAAATGAAAGACCCAACGGAGTAGAACATTTGCCAGAAGGTCATGATTTTTCCACGAATCTCTGGTGGCGCCAGCTCACCAATATAGATAGGACCGGCGGCTTCACAAACATACTCCATTAGCGAAAAAAAGCCAATATACGCTCCATTGGAGAAGGATACTCACTCAAGGCAATACCCTGTCCGATACCGATGATGCAGCGACCAGCAAGAAAGCATCCAATGCTACCACGTGGGGACCATGTCTGCATGAAAGTGGACGCAATAACAAGGACACAGCCGATGCCCATTCCAATCTTGCGGCCGAGATAATCAGCAATGGGACCACCCAAGAAGAAACCACCGAAGATGGCGCCCACGGTGTAGGCCGTGTTGACTGCGCCAATCGTGTTGTCATCTGGGTTATTAAAGTATTTGACCCAGTTCTTGGAACCCTGGACGGAGTTGTAGACGGACGCATCGTAACCATAGAGAACCATGCATGCTGCTGCAACGAGAGAGATGAACCTGAAAAGCGTTGCCGTCAATCGATCGTCCGCTGCGTTCCAGCCAGCAAGAAACAGGACTCACCAGTTATAGCCTCTCTTGGAGAGGATTTTGGCCATCATCTTGGCGGATGATTCGTGTAACACAGCTTTGTATAGAATCTAAGGAAAAGGATGATAGAAGTATACACCAGGTGCCCAATCGCAGTCTCTCGCCCTTGTCAGCCAAGCCCTAGGCTGTCGTAGGGTGCTTGTCGTATTGTACACGACGAAGATGCTGAAAGACAAGACTCTGCCCAGAGGTTCCAAGAGACAGATATATAGGCCCCGTGAGAGATCGAGGAGAGATGGCGTCCGAGGCGATAAAAACGAGCAAGAGCCAGCCATTATATTAGTCCATGGGACACTCAAGCCCATGGCCGCATTGTGAACACTAGAGCAAAAGCACCAGTGACCAGCCCAATCAGCATCGAAGAAACTTGTCTCTCCAGAGTGGCTTGATGGTGTCTAGCTCTCAACTCCATGTTTCTAAGTGGTGGGGTATCTGGGGTGGACCGACGGGGGACTCAGTACGGAGACTCTGATCTAGCCCGAAGCCAGTACCTGTGAGGGCGTGGCCATGATAGAGCCCCGGACGCGGATTTGAGGAAATTCTGCCCCCGTTGATAAAGCAGGTGCTAAGATTTCCACGAATCGGCGACGGGCTGGGTCAGGGGCGATGGGGAAAACCGAGTCCACCAATGGAGATGACTGCACTCGACCTAGGAATACCTACAGTTCTTGTCCCATGGTGGAAAAAGGTTCGAACCAACGCCCTTTGTTCGCTTACGATGGAAATCCGGGGAATAATTATGATGAGGCAGTGATGAGGATGATAGTGGAGAAAGCAGTTGAGGTCTGATGGTGGACGTGGAGAAGAGACAGACGCACAGACAGATGAATTTCCATCGGTGTCACGAGTCCACGCAATAAGCTGCCCATTGTTGCTAGTCACTAGATAGTTAGGGCTGCCCCAATTATTCCCGGATGAATTCCAGTCAACTCGACAAGCTTTAACACATTTAGGCAGTTTGACCCTTAGCTGATTGGCCAATATCCATTTGCCCCATCGAAACTCCGAAGTTGCTGACTCTTCCAGCTGACTGCAGTATCCACTATCTAGATAATTAGATGGGAGGTGAGCTGTGTCTGGCTTGAATTAGATAACTTATGGATATACGGGGTCTGGAATCTGGGGTCTCCAGACCGTCTGTCCACTCCGTTTGATCTAGTCCCAATGTCGACCGAATTTCTGTAGCTTCACACCATATAATCATTGTTCAGAAAGACGGTTGGGCACATTACAATAACGCAAGGCAGGAATAGGATTCGAAGATCGATAGACTGACCTACGAAATACCAACATGCTAAACTCTGAACAGTACTGCCCTTCATGTCCAAAGCTCGAAGGCATGAAACAAGAAGTGGGTGTAGAAAAGATGTTATGGGATGATTATTCAAAACGCAGATTCGTCGAGGATTCTCTCAACCTCTGTGACTTTCTGACAAGGGCTTGCTGGATGAAAGACGACTGACCCATTGTTCCTGATCTCGGTCCCGTCGCCCCTGAAGAAGTCCGGTGCTGTCTTGGACTTTACCTCTCTACAGTGCCTTCGGATACTTGCATTGGGCGCTCGAGGGAGAACTGGGATTTTATGAGCGGATTGTACGCCTTTCGCATGTTTCGTATCGAGCGACTCTGTGTCGAAGACATCTTGAATTCTTCCGCGAAAGTCTCTTCGAAACACACCTAGTTGATGCCATTTTTGTTTCAGTGTGAAAAAAGACGACCTGGGATTACTGGCATCGTCCGGCCCAGTCTCGTTTTCCCTCTGCAATACTTCTAGCTTGGTCGGCGACGAAAATCCAGGGAAGAAAGCCGGTAGAGAGTCGACTTGGAAAACCTTGGAAGACCTCGATTTCGTGGCAGGAATTCGGGAAGTCTGGGCACTACATAGACCCCGAAATATCCGGTATCGCCTGTGCACTCGTCTGCAGAAGCTGCGCAGCAGATAGAGAAGAGCAGCTACCACAATAAAGCAGCCGAGCAACACGCAAACACCGTAGAAGGCTTGGCGTCCACTAACCTCCTGCTTCGAGCAGTGTTTCTCAATGACTGCAAGGTTTC